CGGAAGCTCCAATTAGTCCAACGGGCGGCAGCCATGATACTAACAGGAGCGGGGCGCAGGGAGCATACAACTCCTCTGCTGCACCAGCTCCACTGGCTGCCGATTTGCTACCGGGCTCAATTCAAAGTGCTGGCGTTGGCCTTTAAAGCCCTAAACGGTTCTGGCCCAACTTATCTATCCGAACGTATCTCGGCCTATCAGCCCACCAGGACCCTAAGATCTTCTGGGGAGGCCCTGCTCTCTATCCCTCCCCGCTGAAATTAGACAGGCGCCCTCCCTCATGGCCTTTCGTAAGGGCCTGAAAACATGGCTTTTCGAGATGGCCTTCAACTAAGTGCTATGTTATCGGATTTGACGACCGGAACGGACTATTACTATGAAACTGATTATGTCCCCATAACAAGACGAAGCGGATTTTTAGTATAGTTAGATGTTATGTATTAATAGAGTGTTGTTTTGTTGTCATGACTTATTGTAAATTGTCTTTTCTATGTTTTGTACACCGCCACGAGTCGCCCTAGGGCTGAGAGTGGCGGTTAATAAGTGCAAGAAATAAATAAATAATCCCGCCTGCTTCACAGGTGCGGCTGGCGGGGACGAGAGACAGGGCCTTTTCTGTGGTGGCCCCTCGGCTTTGGAACGCCCTCCCCATAGAGGTAAGATCAGCCCCCTCGCTGATGGTGTTTCGAAAAAGATTGAAGACATGGATGTTCAAACAAGCATTCGGTTAATCCGGTGCAATGAATTTGATGATCAAAGGACTGGTAATCACAGACGACGAAATTGGATTGCGATTTTAGTTAAGAGATGCATTGGATTGTTATTGGTGGCCCAATACTGTGTATGTGTTTTTTATGCTTTTTAAATTGAATATTGTTGATTGTTGTAGTGTTGTAAACCGCGTTGAGTCGCCAATTTAGGCTGAGAAACGGCGGTATACAAGCGCAGTAATAAATAAATAAATAAATACCAAGCTTGCAAACTCTTTGTCTGTTTGTTAAAAATTTGTTTAAAATGTAATACAATTTTCTGGTTGATACTGGCATGATAAATAAATAAATAAAACTTGTCTTCTTTAAGCTTTCCTTTCTTCTCATGATGTGGCCAAGGTACTTCATCTTTGCCTCTCATCTCCTTCCCTCCAATGAGCAGTCGGGCTTCATTTCCTGAAGTATGGACTGGTTGGATCTTCTCGAGATCCAAGGTACTCTCAGAACTTTCCTCCAGCACCACAGTTCAAAAGCGTCTCTCTTCCTTCACTCAGCCTTCCCTATGGTCCAGTCTCACATCTGTAGGTGGCTACGGGGAATACCATTGCTTTATCTATGTGGATCTTCGTTGCCAGTGTGATGTCTCTACTCTTCACTGTTTTATCGAGATTGGACATTGCTCTCCTCCCAAGAAGCGTTTCCTGATTTCCTGGCTGCAGTCCATGTCTGCAGTCATCTTTGCACCTAGAAACACAGTCTGTCACAGCCTCCACATTTTCTCCCTCTATTTTCAAGTTATCAGTCAGTCTGGTTGCCATCATCTTGGTTTTTTTTTATATTTAGCTGCCAACCTAGCAGTTTGAAAACATGCAAATGTGAGTAGATCAATAGGTACCGCTTTGGCAGGAAAAGTCAAAAGACACTCCAAGTAGTCTTGCCGACCACACAACCGGGAGGTGACAATGCATGCTCCTCAGCTTGAAAATGGAGGGAAGCACTAGAGAAGCAGAGCCAGAGATGAGCATCGCCTTCAGAAGCTGGAAATGAAAGGAGAAGCCTTTGCCTTATAAAATGGCTTTGTAAAATTACCTTATGTTACCTTATAAAATATAATAGGTACCGCTTTGGCAGGAAAAGGCAAAAGACACTCCTAGAATCATAGAATCCTAGAGTTGGAAGAGACCTCCTGGGCCATCCAGTCCAACCCCATTCTGCCAAGAAGCAGGAAAATTGCATTCAAAGCACCCCCAACAGATGGCCATTCAGCCTCTGTTTAAAAGCTTCCAAAGAAGGAGCTTCCACCACACGCCGGGGCAGAGAGTTCCATTGCTGAACAGCTCTCACAGTCAGGAAGTTCTTCCTCATGTTGATGGAATCTCCTGTCTTGTACTTTGAAGCCACTGTTCCATGTCCCAGTCTCCAGCAGTCTTGCCAGCCACATGACTGGGAGGTGACAATGCAGGCTCCTCAGCTTGAAAATGGAGAAAAGCAACTCCCCCAGAGCCAGTGATGAGCATCGCCTTCAGAAGCCGGAAATGAAAGGAGAGGCCTTTGCCTTATAAAATTACCTTACGTTACCTTATAAAATATAATAGGTGCCGCTTTCGCAGGAAAAGGCAAAAGACACTCCAAGCAGTCTTGCCGGCCACACGACCGGGAGATGACAATGTTTCTCCCACGTTTCTCCCCTGTGTGGGCTCTTTAATGGCTCCTCAGCTTGAAAATGGAGAAAAGCACCTCTCCCAGAGCGAGAAATTAGCACTGCCTTCAGAAGCCGGAAATGAAAGGAGAAGCCTTTGCCTTTGTGTCTCATTGCATGTGATTGTAAAGGCATTGAATGTTTGCCTGTGTCTGCTGTAAAACCTGCTTTAAGTCCCCTTGTTATGAGTAACTTTCCCACTTTGGAAAAGAATATCCCACTTCTGACACCAATTATGTCATGACTGACTTTTCAATAACTTTGAAGCATAGGCTCTTTTTATTGCAATTTCCAGTGTGAGAGGGTAGATCAGATTACAGGAAAACATTTGGACAAAGAATGACATTGGACAGACAGACATACAGATTCTACGCAGCTACATTAGATTGACAATTACATCGGTTAACAAACAAACAAAGGGGAATTATATTTTCACTCAACATATACACATGTACACACATTCATACTCAGGCATTCAAATATTACCACATCCTTTTCACCCTCCTTGGAGAAGCACCTGTTAGGCCAGACCCTGCTTCCCTGAAGCCTGCCAATGCATAGTTCCATAACTTCCATAAGCTAAAAATGCCAAAACTTCTTTCCTTAAGAACAGTGCCAAGGACCAGATCTCTGTTTTCCATACAGCACAAAACTGACTCCCTGCACAAAATCCAAGACTCCAAAAGCGCACTTCTTCCTCTTTCCTTGAGAAAGAAGCCCCAAACTGACCAGACCTCTCCCATGCAGATCTGCCACTCTCCATAGGTATACTATCTCTCTCCTTCCCATGGAGAAGAGCATGGCGGGTGGACAGACTCCTCAGGACTGCCACACTTTGCGCATTATTAGACTGAGTCTTCTATAGGAATATTCTGCTGATGTAGTCCCAAAGTTGTAAATTAATGATAGACATCTTCCATCCTGGCTCTATCTCCGTTTCCTGGCCAGATGTTGATTCTTCTTGATTGGTGCTGACAAACATTGTTGCAAACATTTCTGTTATCACTTACTCAGTTCTTATCAGGGTTTTGTTGTGACTCAGCTGGAACCACAGTGTGCCTCTGATGAGGATGATGGGATTCAGGTTCACAATCTGGTTCAAAATGTCCCTGTTACAGACAATGAAGAACAGGGGGTAGAAGTTCAGTTTCCCACTTCAGGAATGAAGTTGTTGATAGTAAAACTAGACGGTTCTCAGCCTGATAATGAGCAAGAAGGGAAACAGGCTGACACTAACGAACAGACTGACCTTGACAAAACGGGAACCTTAGATTGGGCTGACCGTTTGGAATTCAGAGTTTCGAAGGAGTGTGAGAATAGCTAACAAGAAGGAGGTCAGAGGCCAAAGAAATGCCTTCATGTTTTGCAAAGGGTATTAAGCAGAGTGTTTGGGTCCGAATCTTTGTCAGAACAACTTTTCGTTTTGCCAAGCAGTTTGGGTTTGCTTGTCTGGATTATCTTGCAGTTCTTGTGTTCATGTTCTCAAGACCTAGTCATGTTCTCATGGGATTCTGCTTTGCTGGTGCCTTTTTGATTCATGCTTCAAAGGGTTATTTTGTAGTAATCTTTTGAAACTTCATTTTTGCTTTTAAGAACTTTTTTCTCTTTTGCTTTTTAATAAACTACAAAGACTTCTGGCTGTGTGCAGTTTGGTGTTTCTCAGCAAGGCGAATCTACTCTGAGGTGCGACAGGTTTCTCATTAGCAAGTCCAGCAAGCAGGTAGTTAGTCATTGCAGGCCTTAATATTATACTGGTGTTTCCAAAATACATCCATCCATCCTTCCATTCATTCCCACACATCATTATTAAATTCACATTTCTCAAATCTGCAATAATATTTTCGTGACAGATTCCCCCTCTTGCATATAAACCTTCAAAACATTTGATGAATTCATAAAAGAACCTTCCTTCATATGCACAAGATCTAAAACCATGTTGTTTCCAAAGGTTTCCTCCTTTGTTCATTTTATTACATTTCCATAGCAAAACTTTATTTTATTTTTTCTCTCCTTTCGGTGTTTTGCTTTTTTATATCTTGATATCTACATAATAAAAATATAATTGGAAAAAAACCTTTATTTCTTATCAAGTTTTCAAATATATAGAACATTTCTTTAGACTTCCCATTTTGTTTTATTTCCTTTATAAATCTATGAATCTGAACCCAAAATTAAGATATCCAAAATGTTTCATTTACTAAACCATTCCTGTATCACACCCTCGGGGAGAAGTGCGGAATATAAATATTGAATTATTATTATGATTAAGGTAAATCCAAAAATATATAGCTAGGGAAAAAATATCAAGAACTCTAAAGAGACTTACTGGAGGAACATTTGCCTAATACAAGGAATAGAAGAAATTGGTTTGCCATTATTAAGGATATTTGAAGGATTTCAACACTCCGCCACAGACCTTAAATTCAGGTGCTGGAAAAAAAGTGGCATGAACTAAGACGTGAACAAATATTTCCACTGAATTTCATTTCACATTCTATGCATTCACATGGTCTCACCCATGTGAGTCCTTAGATGTTTATCATATGAGCAACTTTTGTTGAAGGCCTTTCCACATTCCATGCATTTATGTGGTTTTTCTCGTGTGGGTCTTATAATGGACATACAAATGTCCACTTTTGTTGAAGGCCTTTCCACATTCCACGCCTCTATATGGCTTTTCTCGTGTGGGTCTTATGATGGGCATGCAAATGTCCACTTTTGCTGAAGGCCTTTCCACATTCCATGCATTTATATGGTTTTTCCCCTGTGTGGGTCCTAAGATGGGTACGCAAATGTCCGCTGTCCCTGAAGCTCTTCCCACATTCCATGCATTGATATGGTTTCTCTCCTGTGTGGGTTCTTTGATGTGCTTTCAAACCATGACCTTGAGGGAAGCTCTTTCCACACTCCATGCATTCATAAGGTTTCTCCCCAGTGTGGGTTCTTTGATGCGACTGCAAACTGCTTGTAGTAGGGAAGCTCTTTCCACATTCCTTGCATTCATGCGGTTTCTCCCCTGTGTGGGTTCTTTGATGTGTACGTAGATTAGAACTGCAACTGAAACTCTTTCCACATTCCACGCATTCATATGGTTTCTCCCCTGTGTGGGTCCTTAGATGTTTATTACATGTGCCTTTATCACGGAAGCTCATTCCACACACTGTGCATTCGTATGGTCTCTCCCCTGTGTGTGTCCTTTCATGGACACGCAGATTTCCCATCTGACTGAAACTCTTTCCACATTCCGTGCATTTATAGGGTTTGTCTCCGGAATGCGTTCTTTCATGCACGCGCAGATGATCAGTCTTACTGAAGCCCTTTCCACACACCATGCATTTGTATGGCTTCTCTCCTCTGTGATTTTTTTGATGTGTCAGTAGATTTGAACCGGACCCGAAGGTTTTATCGCATTCCATGCATTTGTAGGGCTTCTCACCTGAGTGAACCCTTTGATGTCGATTATATCCACCCCTATCCCGGAAGCTCTTTCCACATTCTGTGCATTCAAAGGGTTTCTCTCCTGTGTGGGTTCTTTGGTGCAAACGTAGACTTCCACCGGTACTGAAGCTCCTTCCACATTCCATGCATTCGTATGGCTTCTCTCCTGTGTGTGTTCTTTGATGTATAAGTAGACCTCCTTTCTGACTGAAGCCCTTTCCACATTCCATGCATTCATAGGGTTTCTCCCCTGTGTGGGTTCTTTGATGTATACAAAGGTGTATCTTGTCACCAAAGCTCCTTCCACATTCCAGGCATTCGTATGGCTTCTCTCCTGTGTGTGTTCTTTGATGGTTATGTAGACCTGCACTCTGACTGAAGCCCTTTCCACATTCCATGCATTTGTATGGTTTCTCCCCTGTGTGTATTCTTTGATGTATACAAAGGTGTGTCCCGTTACCAAAGCTCTTTCCACATTCCATGCATTTGTAGGGCTTCTCTCCTGTTTTCGTTCTCTTTTGCTTTCCAGACACCTGTTTTTCCGCACCAGGCTTTGTTACAGCTGGCTTCTTGTGTTTCTTCTGCCGATTTCTTTTTTGAGAAAAAAGAAAAAAATCATTTAGATAAAATGACAGAGACCAAATAAGAGACTTATCCCCTAGACCATGAGTCCACAAACATTTTAAACAGAGGTCACAGTCCCTCAAACTGTTGGAGGGCTGGATTATAATTTGAAAACAAACCTGAATGAATTCCTATGCACACTGCACATATCTTGTAAACAATACAATAATTAAAGTGAAGAACAACGTCAACAAATATAAACTTATTAGTATTTCAATGGGAAGTGTCAGCCAGCTTTTGGCTGATGAGATAGGATTATTGTTGTTGTTGTTGTTGTGTGCTTTCAAGTCGTTTCAGACTTAGGTTGACCCAGAGTGAGGATCGGGTAAATGACCTTGGAGGGCCGTATCTGAGCCCCGGGCCTTAGTTTGAGGACTCCTGCATGTTGGGACTCAGCCTGTGTGTGACCCTATGTGTGAACTTGAGCCCGAATCTCTGATTGTATTGCCTAATATTGATAATATTGATGTAAATGTTGATGGGCCTAGTTTTGATAGTGAGGCTGAAGTAATCAATGAGGACAAGGTTCAAGATGGAGACACTTTGGGCAGTAAAAACCCTACAGGCTTTAATTTGGAGGCTGCAAGGGAAAAGCCAACTTCTCATTGGCTTTTCCCTTGCAGCCTCCAGACAGAGGGGAGAAAATTCACTCCCTTCTCCTCCTTGACCGAGCTTGCAAGATAACTCGACACCTGGTTGGGTCAATGATAACAGCCGCAGCTTGGAGATAAGCCAGAGCTGCTGGGAGACTCAATGTTTACGTAGGTCCGAGAGAATTTGACAACTGAAACCAAAGTTTAGAGTTAGCCGGAATCAGTTTCTGGGATTTAAGAGTGGCCGTGAGAGGATTTCCTCAGACCAAGCATCGTTTAGTTTAGACCTCAAAGTTTTTCCAGCAGCCTGGTCTCCAAGGGAACTTCTGGCTTCGAGTGAGATTTAGCAGGGGCTAATCTGTTCATGGATTTCTATTTTCTGGACATTACTGCTTTGGATTTTCTGCAAGCTTTTTGGACATTGCTGTTTGCCATTTCATTTTGGCTTTTTTACCTTTGGACTTTTATCTATTTTATATTCATCATTCAATAAAAAGGATAGTATTATTCCTAAACCAAGGTGCGGTGTATTAATGGCAAGAGGACCCTGTTTCCTGCGCTGGAGTGCAACACTGCCCTAGACTCTCGTTAATCTATTTAACATGCCAACATACTGAAATCTCTGATCAATATGCTCCTCTCAGCCGCTAACATCAATAGCATTGCGTGTCTAATTCTAAGAGAAGCAGATCCATGTCCTTCTCTCTTCGGGTGATACAGCAGTGCATTTGTATGTGAGAAGTGAAGGATAACCCAGAGCTGTAGCAAGGATAAATGGAGAAGAGGAAAATTCCTTGCTGAATAGGAAATCCTCCATCAGAAAGAGTCCTAGCTCCAATACAAATAATGTTAGCTATTGGTACTCAGCTTCTCCACATTGTAATGAGCTAACGGTGCACTCTTTCCAAACAAACGCCATTCCTGGCATATCGACAGAATTTTCTTTTTTGAACGGCACTCTCATAAAGCCTGAAATAGAGCCCTTGAATCTATCAGATTAGCCCTTGCTTCTCGTTCATGGGCTCCTGGCTTCTGAATGAGCGTTGCCCACTTTTCTCTTCTCTGTCTCATGAGGACCACATCCTGTCCTTCTGTGTTCCAACTGGAATCCTCCACCCTGAGTCCTGGGTCTGGCATTAGGAAACCTCTTTTCTGGAGAGTTAGAAGTTTTTCCCCTTCTGAGTTCTCTCTTTTCCTCTAGTCTTCTCTTTTAATTGGGATTCCCTTACTCTAAAGCTGGGGTCCTCAAACTTTTTTTAAACAGGGGGCCAGATTACTGTCCCTCAGACCGTTGGAGGGCCAGACTATATTTTTTTTTAAATGACCAAATTCCTATGCACACTGCACATGTCTTATGGCCAGAGTGAAGGGAGAGGGGGCCAGGAAGACAGTTCCACCTTGTCTCCTGCACTGTGCTAATAATATAATATATTGTATATACATATGATATTTATAGTAGTATAATGTAATACAATATAATACTAATAATTATATATTATAATTATATATTTTATATTACATGTAATATTACTAATAATATTACAATAAAATGGTATAGTACAATATAGTAATATATAATACTGATATTGTATTATGCTAATAATATATTGTATGTATATATATCTTGTAAGCTGCTCTGAGTCCCCTTCGGGGTGGTGGTTGCTTCCATTTTTCCTCCATTTCTAACGCCGGAAGAGCCGCCGGTGTTTCATTAGGACCCACCTCCAAAGGTTTCATGTTGGGGGGGCCGGTTATGGAAACTCATGGAAGGCCCACGTTTACCTTTTCCAAACCGGGAGCCGGGGGTACCCTATTCATATCTAATACATTTTGACTTTTGGTCTTTCGGGAAACTGCTAGGGGTTGGTTTTAAATTCTTAACCGTGGAACAGCAGAAGCTCAAGGGGCGCCGCTCCCTGGAATCGAACCTGAAACCTTTTGGTCAAAAAAAAAAAAAGTCAATAAAATTAGGGTATACTCTCTCTCTCTCTCTCTCTCTCTCTCTCTCTCTCTCTCTCTCTCTATATATATATATATATATATATATATATATATATATATATATATATATATATATATATTTAAAGGTAAAGGTAAAGGTTTTAATTAAATGTGATAATGTCTTATTGGTAAATCTTACTAAAATAGTAACAGTGTGTGGGTGGGTTGCAAAAGGGAGAGGGAGGGGAGGGGGGGAAAAACCACATCACAACCAAAATTACTGTGCATTTGCCAGTTGAATCTTAAATCAACCCTGGCAAAAAAAGAGAGCCTTTACCACGGAACGGGGTTTCCACCAAAGCTCAGGTTACCGGAACCCAAGGTTTTGGTAAAGGCAACCATGGACTGCATTTCAAAACTGGCCAATTCCAAGAAAAAGAAAAGATGTGACAACCCCATTTTTTTAAAAAGCTAGTGGAAAAAACCTTACCTTGGGTGGCCATGTTTACCAGGTCTTCCCACTTGTATATTCTACCAACAACCAAAGCTCAAAAACAGGGGACTTCCCACTCTCAGAGAGGCACCACACAAACGGCGCCTCCTCAAAAAAGGGGTGGGGCAGAGGGCTAAAAAAAAAAAAAAGGGAGGAAAGAAAGAGGAATGGGAAAAAAAAAAAAAAAAACCACCTCCAAAATTAAAAAGGCCGCTAAAACCTCCACCAAAAAAAGTGGTGAAAGAGCAAGCGCAAAAAAGGTGGCGGAAAAGGGTTCCCCAAGATATTAGTGGGTGGAACGGGAACTGGGGAAAGGAAAATTAAGGTTGCACTTTTACTTGTATGAAAAAATTGTATTTCTTTTGTGGTAAAAGTTATGTCTTTGCCAATCTGCACCGAGGGGGGCCTCTGTGGAAATGATTTTAGTGTGGAAAACCCAAACCTTACTCTCTCCAAGGGGCATATAGGGAGGCGCCTTACAAGGAGACGCAATTTTAATTTTGATTGAAGGGTTGGCAGGGGACCACTTTAGTGGGGAGAGTGGGGTGGGGTGGGGTTGGGGAAATAATGGGGCACTCAAAAAAAAAAAAAATAACTTAAGAAAACACAAATGCTGTGCCTGAATTATTTTTTTTCTAATAAAATGTTTGCTGCGCAACCCTTTCCTCCTTGGTTTAACAAAAAAACCACCACTATTACCACTGTGAGTAAAAAAAAAAACTAGAAAATTTTTACAATTGACTGGTTGCCCTGACACAACAAATAAAATAAATAAAAGTGTCATGAGGTTCTTGTGGGTTTTTTCGGGCTATAGGGTCATGTTCTAGAGGCATTCTCTCCTGACGTTTCGCCTGCATCTATGGCAAACATCCTCAGAGGTGGTGAGGTCTGTTGGAAATAGGAAAATGGGTTTATATATCTGTGGGAAAAAGGCCTTTCAAACAAATTTAACCAATTGAGAATATTAGCATACGTGAAAAAGTTGAGAAAAGGGGGGGGGACTAAAAGTTAGTAAATTCCTTCAAAAGGGAAATAACCAGGAGGTGGGGCACCAAAATTACAAGTGTAACAGATATGACTGAAAAACATGGGGGGGGGACCATTGCCATTTGAAAAACTTTTAGCAAATTTTCCACAGGTGGAAAATTCCAACAGCCAAAATTATATGTAAAGTTAAAAAATTCTAGTTTCATTTGAGGAGAAAAAAAAAAAAAACCCCCCAAAAAAATCAAAAAACTATCCTATCAAAAAAAAAAACCCAAGTAATATATGTGTGATACGCAAAATGAAAAAACAAAAAAAAAAAATGCAAAAACCCAAAAACAAAACATTTAACCAGGGGGGGGGGGGGGGAACCAATTTTAGCAAAGGTGAATTTAGCCAGAGAAAGATGAGGAGTTTCGAATTTTTCAAAGTGAAATTAGGGAAGGGGCAAAAGGGCCCATTTAATCCAACTTCCAAGGGCAGAGGGGAATAAAGGGATCTGGGCACTCAGGAAAAAACAGGGGGGACCCGAAGACCAAGCCAGGAAAAAAAAAAAAATTTTCCAGGTTTCCAGTGGGTTTAATTTGTCTGCAAATAATAGCCACATCCCTTTTCAAAGGGGGGGGGGGGGGGGGGACAAAAAAAACAAAAAAAAAAAAAAAAACTTGTTTGCCTCCTTGTTGAAGAGAAGGCTGAGAGGGAGATATGATAGCCATGTATTAAATATGTGAGAGGGGAAAGGCCCCACAAGGGGAGGAGAGGAGTCGCCGCCCTTGGATGTTTTCTGCTTCCCGGATTGACAGTACACAAATGGCTTCAAAAACTACAAAGAAAAAGGGGAGTGATTTCCTTACCCCTGGGGAAACCACCGCACACCCTGAACGACAAAAAACAACTGTGAGTGTGTTTC